CAAACTATCGGCCAGCTATCGATTAGATGATTGCTTGATGATATTTGGTTTATATTTTTGATTTCGACCAGTGTAGTGTCATGGGGGATTGGGCGAATTCTAGGATAGAGCAACTGCGACAAATTGTCATTTCAAAATCGTTAACATCGTGTAACATTACTCAAAAGCAAGACAAGATGGATATGATTTGGCAATGGCTAAAGCGGCTCTCGAGTAAGTTACTAGGTAAGGATAGGGACTTTTCTTTAAAAGAACATTTGTGTCTCTTAACACTTCTTATAATTTATAAACTGATTATTTTATAAATTTTCTTTGGATTACAGGAGTGGGGGGTTCTCTCCCACTTAACATCAAAACAGAGAGCTTTTATAATTAATTATCAGGAAAGTATTCTTGAGAATATTCTCCCTTTCTTGCATTAATATTTTCTTTTCTGTTAATTGTACAATCCCACCTTTTGACTCATGATTCCATCTTTTAATTATCTTCTCTATTTCATAGGTCCCGCTAATAGAGGTACAGCCGTATCTCCCTAAACATTTTTGCAGGTTGAAGGCTCTGTTGTAAGCCCGTGAAAGTAAGTTATCACACCTTTTTCCTTGGTGCGTGTTGTGGTAGTTCTACTAAGTCTTTCTTCCTTTTTAGGTTTAGTGACAATTGTCGCATGTGGGGCCCAGACTTACAATCGTGAGTGACTTGTTCTGGATCTTGGGGCTTCTCTTGCATACAATAGAGAGAAATTGGGTTACACGATCACTGATTTTGGGTCACGATCCAGATTGCGATTCCGGTCACATTTTCGGTTACATTTTCGATCACATTTTTGATAATCATTATGCAATGGCTTTAACCAGATTTTACTCTAATACTAGTTACTTAAAGTATTAATATCTTTGTCAGCTTTTATTGAAGTTATATGGTTTTGAAGTAACATGCAAAGGTCTTGCAGATCTGATAAAGAATCCCTTTCATTTTAATAAAAATATTATTAATCATAATTCATATAGCAAAAAAATGAGTTTTAACAATTACCTTTGAGGTACCTAGTTGCAAAAAATTCCTTTTCAAATTCAATGTATTTGAAAAAGCTATTCAACTTATTTATCATTTCTACTTATAATCTTCTACCAAACTTTTATAATAGATGATGCCATGCTCTCCTTTAGTTTTCAAAAATATGACTTTTGTTATATTTATCTATTAAAAAATGTATATACAGTGTGATTAATTAAATTTACTTTAAATTGTTTTATTACAAATTATCCTTCTTTGCCATGCTCATTTTTGAATTGTTCCAAAAAGCGAGAATAATAGCCATTTCTAAACGTGTATTTCTTGTAAAATCACTTTGTTCTATGTGATATAAAGAAAAATATATAGGCTTCAAATGCTAATGTCTTTGTTTTTAAAGTAATGGTAATGGTCTTTTTTACAAGTTTTGATATAGTTTCTTGTTAATAGTTTTGTAGATTGTGGTAATTAAGATAAATAATGTTGTTTTAAAATTTTATTGTAATAGGTATCTACCTCTGTAGGTATTGAATTA